GTGAGAGTCTCTTTTCAAGGAGGGTCCAAGCTTCGTATGCTGAAGTGCAAGAGATTAGGAGGGTTTTGATAGAGGGAGATGCGGTAGCTTTTATCCAGCTGAGAACTAATTTGTCCTTGGCATAGGTGGGGTTGATTGAGCCATCCTCAAGCCTTTTAGCAGGGCGATTTTCATTCTTCACGACATCCTCCAAGTCATGGATTTCCAGGACATCAAGAAATTGCGATCTCCAAGAGAGGAAATTGTTACGATCCATAGGTGTATTGAATATGTGGGAGATATTGAAGGAGGTTGGAATTGCGGCTGACATGGAAAGGATAGAATTTTGAGAGGTTTGAGAAATTTGGGAAGAGGTTTGAGAATTGACAGAAGAAGGGATAGGCGAGCCTTCGTCGATGGCCATAGGAACTGTTGGATCGAGTTTTGAGCGTTAGCCCCTGTAAAGCTCTGATACCATGTAGAAAAATAGACAAGAGAGAAGTTTGGGTTGAATCACTCGATGATTTGATTCATATTGAGATACACCATATATACAGGATTCTAGCGGTGGTCAACTATAACAAAAGAGGAAAATACATGATTACAGGGATTTGTACATAAATTGTACCAATCACGTTGTGATTGGAGGTTGACTTGAGATAGTGGGATTCTTGGCTTGATTGTCGTTCTCTTCAGGCCCGCTAGGTCAGAACCCTGTGTAATATATGTACGTAGTATATAGGTTGATCATGTGTTGTGTTTTGTTTTAGTAACTGTAACTGATCACCCCCTGATTCGATCAGATAGGCGTAGTTTGTATTAATTTCCAATTCAAATAAAGGCCTTGTGCATCTTCTCCAATTCAATCCAATTTATCTACTGATTAATCCGGGTTTTGTTTTGTTTAATCTCTTCATTTGGCTCATTACTTGGCCTCTGCTATTCGTCCTTTTGATTAAATATTAATGTTTTTTTGTTTTGATTTTATGAGGCCTGTAATTAATCAATGGGGATTTTAGTAATAAGTGCCACCCATCGATTCTCTCTTACAAAACGACCCAGATATAACCTTTTTTCGTTTTCTTTTGCTGAATATTTCTCAGTTAACTATGTCACCATGGTTTGATTTAATTTTTCCATTTTCTTTCGCAGAATTTGGCTTTGGTTACTTGTATAAGCAA